TAAAAATCATAAGAGAAGTTCTATAATTTTTCTACAATTTTACCCTTTTTTAACATTTATTAATTTTAGACACTTCCTGGATGCTAAATCTTTATAAAATTCAGTTATCTTTGCTTATTACAAATTCAACATCTGGGGCAACTGATTGAATACAAACATTATGCACTCTTAATTTTACTTTGCCACTTTCCATTATTTTCAACTTGGATATGTTCAAATCTACCCATCTTTTATTTGGTAAACCAGGGTATTTCTAAGCCATTTTGGTAGCTGCATGGTCAAAATGTTCCCAGCTACTATACTCTCTCCCACCCTGGCCCGCTGCAGGAGAGGTGAGGTGTGTGAAAGTGTTTGCCAACGGGACCCTAGCGGTCTCTGCTTCGAAGGACCACACGCTGCGCTTGTGGAATTTACTCTCTGGCCAGGAGAAATTCACCATTTGGGATGGAGGCTCGAAAACTCCCACTGAACCTCAGATCTGGAGCCTTCATGTGGATGAAGCAAACAAGGTTATATATTCGACATCTGGCTCACAGGTAACAAACATCTGCCCTGTTTGTAAAGGAAAACTGAGACTAGAGTGTTCAAAGACAGGAATAAGCTGTTTCTATAAGCAGGGGCTCCCTTACATGGGCGGGGAATGGTAAACAGGAGTACACACCACTTGAAAGAGTGTTATAAGAGGTTTCGACCTTCATAGTTGGCTTCTTGATAGTTCTTTCTGATCCTAAGATTTGAGACTTTTCATCTTTTTTAATATAGTCATTTTAGTGCTATAAATTTCCCTCAAAGTACTGCTTTGCCTGCATGCCACAAATTTTGATATGTTGTGTTTTCACTTACATTTCACTTTTGATTTCTTCTTCGATCCATGGGCTATTTAGAAGTGTGCTATTAGTTTCCAAATATTTGAGGGGTTCGCAGGTAAATCCACAAAAAGGATTTGATGTGAATCCTTCCAAGTTTATTGAGACTTGTTTTATGGTCTCTCTTGGTAAATCTTCCATGGTCATCTGAAAACAATGTACATTCCACTGTGTTATTCCCTTATGTAAACCACAACCCTATGATTTGATAGTTTTATGAATGGAGATACACAATAGCATTGTGGGTAAGAGTTCAGCAACTAAAGCCAGGTAGAAAAATCTGTATTTAACTCTCAGTTGAGTTTCTTGAGAGCCAAGTGACTTTGGTCATGTCACTTCATCATTTTGAGTCCCATTTTCTCATCTTCCTCATAAGATAATGACGGCAAAACACCCGGCACGGTGCTTGGCACATACTAAGCACCTAATAATTAGTATTTTTTAATTATTGTATTATATAAGTAATTGGTGATTTTGACAGTAATATTGGTGCATGCAAACTGTGCTATCCAAAATGGGAGTTACTAGCCAGATGTGGCTACTGAACGTTTGAAATGTGGCTGTTCCCACATATTGGATTTCAAAGACCTAGTATAATAAAAATCATATAAACTATCTCTATAGTAATTTTTATATTGATTCCATGTGGAATTGATAATACTTGGACCTATTGGGTCCAATATTATCAAAATTGATTTCGCCTGTCCCTTTTTACCTTGTTTTAGGTGGCTATGAAAAATTTAAAGTCATATGTGTTTGCATATTTTTATTGGACAGGGCAGGCTGAAATATTAGAGAAGTATTGATTGATTTCACAATCAGTTATAAAAATCTTCTTTGTTATCAATAAAAGTTTGGAAAATAAAGTATATAGAAATAACACCCAAAATAACCACTGTTAACATTTATATGATTTTACTTTATGTGTTGTATACATGCGTGTGCATTTGTGTGTGACTATGTCTATAAAATAAAATTGGGATTAAAATACATACTTGGGGCCAGTCGCGGGGGCTCACGCCTGTAATCCTAGCACTTTGGGAGACTGAGGTGGGAGGATCACTTGAGCCCAGGAGTTCGAGAAAAGCCTGAGAAATAGTGACACCCTGTCTCTACAAAAAAAGAGAAAAATTAGCCCAATTTGGTGGTGTGCGCCTCTAGTCCCAGCTACTCAGGAGGCTGAGGCAGGAGGATCATTTGAGCCCAGGAGTTTGAGGTTGCAGTGAGCTATGATGACACCACTGTACTCTACCTCTGGCAACAGAGTAAGACTCTGTCTCAAAAAACAAAAAAGCAAAAAACCCCACATACGTGTACAGTTTTATAAAGCTGTTTTTCCCACTTAATATGTCATAAGCTCATGAGTGTTTTCTCATAACCTTAATTTTTTGAAAACATCATGCTTAGTGATTGCACAAGATTCCATTGTCTGGCTTCACTAGAGTTTAACTAATGCCTCGTTATTGGACAAATAGGTTGTTTCCAGTTCTTTGGTCTTACAAATAACTGAAATAGCTTTCCTTATACACATATCTTTGTGTGTATCTCTCCTTGTTTTGTTAATTGAAACCCCAGATGTAGAACTAATGGGCAAATGTTTAATATCTAGATTGTTACTCCTAATGAAAAGATACTTTTTAGGATATGAAATTGAACATGAAAACTTGTAATGAACATATATACCAATGCATATGGCGCTGCTGACTTTTTTATTCTATGATTAAAATTGTTTATTTTAGACCAATTTTAGATTTACAGAAAAGCTATAAAGATAGTACAGGGAGCTCCCATACTTTCTTCATTCAGTTTCCCTAATGTCAACATCTTACATAACAGGGTACGTTTGGCACAGCTAAGACATTAATATTGATAAATCCTGTCAATTAAACTCTAGACTTTATTTAGATTTCATCAGTGGTTTCACACATGTTCTTTTGTTGTTGCTTTTGTTGTCTGGTGTCATCATAGCTCACTGTAGCCTCAGACTCCTGGGCTCAAATGATCCTCCTGCCTCAGCCTCCAGAGTAGCTGGGACTATAGGCACACGCACCACCACGCCCAGCTAATTTTTCTATTTTATGTAGAGAAAGAGTCTGGCTCTTGCTTAGCCTGATCTCGAACTCCTGGCCTTAGGCGATCCTCCTGCCTCAGCCTCCCAGAGTGCTAGGATTACAGGTGTGAACCACCGCACCCGGCCTCCCTTTCTTTTTTATTTCTGAACTGGCAGTGCTGAAAATAAAATGCATAAACCATAAAAAAGAACAGGTCTTGCATTTGAGTCTGGAAAACGTGCAGTCTAGGTCTCCTACTGAGATGTTGCTTCCTCTTTATTCCGTTAGATCAATGCTTGGAATCTGGAAACTGCAGAACTGGTTTTCTGTATCCTGGGAGATGCCTCTGATCCCTGGATGTGCACGGCCGTGTTCGCCTCCCAGGCCAGGCTGATGGCAGTGTCCCAGGGTCGCGTGGTCAGTGTGTGGAGCTCTGCCACCGGAAAACCGCAGGGGAAGCAATGTTTGTCCAGCATCAGAGAAGGAAGCCCTGCCTGTGCGGTCTCAGTGCAGAAACAAGGAAAGCTGGTCACTGGGTTTAGCAATGGCTCCATCTCTCTGGTAGGCAACTTTACTGACTGTGATGAGAAAATTAAATCAGCCTAAAAGTGCTCCGATGTCCTAGAAACTGGGAGAAAGGAGCTTGCCTTATATCTTTTAATAAATGACGCTTGCCTCTTTTTTCTTTTTTTTTTGAGACAGAGTCTCACTCTGTCACCCCAGCTAGAGTGCAGTGGCATCATCATAGCTCACTGCAACCTCCGACTCCTGGGCTCAAGTGATCCTCCCGCCTCAGCCTCCCAAGTAGCTGGGACTACCGGCCTATATCACCATGCTTGCCTAATTTTTCTATTTTTAGCAGAGACAGGGTCTCGCTCTTGCTCAGGCTGGTCTCAAACTCCTGAGCTCAAGTGATCCTCCTGCCTCAGCCTCCCAGAGTGCTGGGATTCCAGGCAGGAGCCACTGCGCCTGGCCCTGTGAACTTATCTAACCCTGAAAACAACACTATGATGTAGTTGCTGTCATGATGTCTATGTTACGGATGGGTAAACTGAGGCAAGGAGAGGTGAAGTCCTTTGCCTAAAGTCACAAAGCTGGTGAGTGATTTTGAACTCAAGCAGTCTGGCTCTAGAATCCATGCTTTTAACTGCTACTCTTAGGCTACCTGAAAGCAGGGGTTCTCGACCTGTGATGATCGATATTTGGGGCAGATCATTCTTTGCTACGAGGGCTGTACTGTGCTTTATGGGATGTTCAGCAACATCCCTGGACTCCACCCACCAGATGCCAGTAGGAGTGCTGGAATATTCTCTGGGCCCCTGAGTGCTTACAACAACAATGACGTCAACAATAATAATAGCTGCTACTTAGGGAGGGCTGACTATATGTTGAACAATAATTCTATGTACTTCTCATCCGCCATATCTTTGAGAGGAGGTTTTGAGATCATCTTTCATGTAACAGGAGGGGGAAACTGAGGCACTGAGGTGTTAAGGAACTTGCTTAGAGTCCCAGAGCTGGCGGAGCCCTGCATCCAGTCCAAGCTCTTAACCCTTAACCCTACGGAAATGCCTGACAGGCATCCCTGACTTTGCGCAGGTTTCCTCCGAAGGAGACAGATTGCTGGAGAAGCTTCCAGATGCTGCGGGATTCCTGGTGATCTCTGAAGATGAGTCCCTTCTCGCAGCAGGTAGCGTTTGGCTCTCATTTCAGAGGATCGAGGATACAGATCAGGGTGGGATTGGGAATGGGGGTGGGGCTCAGGGACAAAGAAGAGTGCTAGGTGAGAAATTAGCACATTTTTCCTGCAAAAGGGCCGCACAGGGAACATTTTTGAACTCTGGATGAGATGTTCTCTGTTGTAACAACTCAACTCTGCTGTCGTGGCACAAAAGTTACCATAGACTGTTTATTTATTTATTTGTTCATTTATTTATTTGAGATAGGGTCTTGCTCTGTTGCCCAGGCTGGGGGAGTACAGTGGCCTGATTGTAGCTCACTGCAGCCTCCACCTCCTGGCCTCAAGTGATCCTCCCACCTCAGCCTCCCAAAATACTGAGATTATAGGCATGAGCCACCACGCCTGGTCTAGACACTATTTAAAAAGTGCTGTACCCATGTGCCAATACAACTTTGTTTATAGACACTGATGTTTGAATCCTGTATCATTTTCATGTGTCATGAAATATTAATGTTACTTTGATTTTTTTAACCATTTAAAAATGTAGAAACTGCCAGGTGTGGTGGCGCGCACCTGTAGTCCCAGCTACTCGGGAAGCTGAGGTAGGAGGATCGCTTGAGCCCAGGAGTTTGAGACCAGCCTGAGCAATATAGCAGGACCCAGTCTCAAAAATAAAACAAAATAAAAATGTAGACACTATTCTTAGCTCACAGACCATACAAAAACAGGCAGCAGGTTGGTGTTGGCCCTTGGGCTGTAGTTTGCCGATCCCTGTTCTTGGGGAATCTCCTAACCTTGCTGGGCTTCACCTTATTATCTTTGAAATAGGAGTTATCATCCTTGCCAAATAGTCACAGAGCTAGAGTGGGCCAGGTTCGAGGAGAGGGAGGGATAGTTTTGTACACAGATGAATCGGTCCACGCAATCCCCGGCTGTTAGGTTCTTCCGGTCTAGCAGGAAAGAGGGACAATTAGGTAGCCACGAGAAATTCTGGTTGGTGTTATGACAAGACAAGAATAAGGGGCTCTGCTACTTGGGAGGCTGAGGTAGGAGGATCCCTTGAGCCCAGGAGTTTGAGGCCAGCCTGGGCAACATAGCAAGACCCCATCTCAAAAAAAAAGAGGGGGGAGCCCTGGCATGGTAATCCTAGCAGCTGTAATCCTAGCACTCTGGGAGGCCAAGGTAGGAGGACCACTTGAGGTCAGGAGTTTGAGACCAGCGTGAGCAAGAGCAAGACCCCCTCTCTACAAAAAATAGAAATATTAGCCAGGCATGGTGGCACATGCCTGTAGTCCCAGCTCTTCAGGAGGCTAAGGCAGGAGGATCGCTGGAGCCCAGGAGTTGGAGGCTGCAGTGAGCTATGATGATGCCACTGCACTCCACACTCCAGC